GGAAAGTGCCTTGAGATGATGTGTTGTCAATTGGCGCTATAGAAATAAACTGAATTGATCTGTAACGTGTTTATCTTTGCTTTAGCGCCCCCTAGTGCATGCATTACGCTTAAGCTCTGAATTGAGTCTGCTGCGTTTCCGTTTTCCTGGTTTCCATTGGAAATGACAGCAGATGTTGAAGGATCTTCTCACCTGAGGCGGTTCTTTAAGGAGTTGACCTCTCTGGTGAGACCTTCGCTGGCCTCCGTGGCGTCGTCCAGCTCCCTCTGCAGCTTCCTGCGGGAGGCGTTGGCTCTTGTGGCCTCCTCTTCGGCCTCCTCCAGCTGACGCTTCAGCTGCTTCATACGAGAGTTGGCCTTCTCCATCTGGTGGAGGCAGATGGAAGACACTGAGTAAATGTTGCAGCGTTTCCGATATATTGAGCTAACTTTGCTTCCTAACCTGTTCCTTAAACTGGTCGGCGTGACGACGTTCATCCTCCACCTGCATCATCACTTCCTTCAGCTTCTTCTCGGTACGTCTGACGACTTTGTTGGCGGCCGCTCTCTCCCTGGACGTTTAACGCAGACAGTGAGAGGAATGTCGGCTAAAAGCGAAATCCTCTGTGAGCAAAGACGGAAGGCGGAGTCTCACTTGGCTTCCTGCTCCAGCTGCTCCTCCAGCTGCAGGATCTTGGCCTCCAGAGCAGCGATGGACGCCTTAAACTTTGACTTTACAGCTCCTTCTAGTTCGGCCAGCTTAGCTTTTAGCTCCTGCATTTATTAGCAGATGTTTATGTTTAATGACAGAAGAGTCGAATGAAAAACGAACAAACAGAAGGTTGGATGAGTGTTTTCAGAGACGATCCTGATGCGAATCTTTTACACAAACATCAAGATTTTCAAAAACAGAGACTGTTTCTCAATCTGTAAACTTGTGTGTTCTTGTGTGCTCGTGAAACATCATCATCCTCATCACTAGTACTGTTCAAATTCACAAAAACAGCAGAACGAGAACGGACAAAGAAAGCCCCCAGATGTTTTTCTAGCCCCTCCCTCTTTACCCAGCATGCATCAGAGCAGACTTGTCCGTTCTCCAGATTGACAGCTGTCTCAAAGACCTTTTCTTACTCTCTATAAAAAAGCAGAGGAGGAACTGAAGAAATCTTCACTCACGCCTATCGATGCATCTGTTTAGCAGGACTTTGTATCTAAGAGCGACATGAAGCAGATGTCTGTATAAAGTCTGCTTTTTAGTCTAAAGCTCGTTAAAAGCCTTCAGCT